TTTTTTTCCTTCACATTGTTTGTGCACAGAGAACTGTGGGATAACCGAAGGCATCTGATGTGTCCTCGAAATCATTCAGAACGTAGACTGCATTTCTAGGCTGTATACGAAAGGTTCTTCACTTTGGAGCGGCCTGCTAACCTCACTTACCTGCCTTAGTACCCCACTTATCTGACTGTTACCTCACTTATCACTGTTTTGCTGCTATACATCCTTTTTAACTGCTGCAGCACTTTAATATATTGCATATACTTGGCACAATGCAAGGTTAAAGGTGTGTGTGGGTGTGTGTGTGTGTGTGTGTGATGGTCCAAGTGTGTGGTAGGATGCACATTTTATTTTATTCGTATTTTTATTTATTTTTATTCTTTTTTATTTACTACGGTAAAATGTGTGTCTGATACTGTGCACTGTGAGCTGCTGCAACCAAAACCAAATTCCTTGTATGTGTAAGCAAACCTGGGTCAATAGAGCTTGATTCTGATTCTGATTCTGATTCTGATTCTGATTCTATGACGCAGCGGCCGAGAAATGCAGCCTAGGCTTTGGAACGCAGCTACTGTTATCTATAAACATGGACTAAACTACTTTAACATAGCTAAAAAATGGAACAGTCTGAACTTCATCTGCTCATGTTTATAGAGAACAGTGTGTTCGTCTGTGTCAGAACCACATCATCGAGCCTGTCAGACCAACCACACGGTTTGATGCGATAGTGATGCTCATTGCTAATTGGTGGGGTATAAGCTTCCAGTATTTGTCACATTAGCCTCGTAGCTCCAGTGCAAAACTAAAGACAGAGACCACAAACATGTCTTGGCTGATCAGTTACATTTAAAAACTGTCTAAATGTAATTTGTGGCCAAAGTATCGCTTTAATACAGATCAGCGAGTCCTACAGTAACCTTCTCTGTTGTTTATCCGTCAGTGGGAGGCGTTCAGTCTGCCTGAGCTGAGGAACTTCCTGCGGATCCTGCAGAGGGAGGAGGAGGATCATGTCCGGCAGATCGTCCAGCGCTACTCGCTGGCCCGAGACAAGATAAAGGAGGCGCAGCGAAATTTCAGCACCCCTGGATGAAGATGAGGGAGCAGAGTAGATTAAACTGGACGCTACCTCACTGCTGGACGAAGTGTAGCTGAAGTGCTAATGTTCAAGTCATCGTGCCTGAAATCCAAAGAGCTGCTGGAGGTGCACGGGTGTGTAGATCGGCCCCTTCTGGGGAAAACACAGAGCCAGCAGAACAGGCTAGAACAGTCTAGAACAGTAAGAGGGAACCAGAGCATGTGGGTGGAATGGAGCGGCTGACACTACACTTGCGCTCTGTATGATCCATTCTGATGATATGTATTTGTCTTGAATGTACAGACAAGACCTTACACACTTAATTTCATTAATTCTGTAATTTATGGCCATTATTAAAAAAAATAGTTAAACATTCTGTGCTACACAAGGTTTTTCGGAAGGTTTAGTCTTGAAGCGACGGCCCAATCACAAGACAGAAATCTGCTGAGGGTAAACAAACATGCGCAGTATATGAACAGCCATCGTGTGTGAGCTGTAAGGTGTGTCCCAATTCAGGGGCTTTAAAGATGGAGCCAAAACTTTGATTTTAGTATTTTTAACGTTTAATTTATTAGAGCTGGAGATGCTTCTCTGTCTGATCTTTGCTTCTAAAACAAAACGAAATGTTAGTGTAAGTTTTGCTTTCAGAGCACATTGGCTTTTTTAGTATTGGCATCATCAGCTATTCGACTCAGTTTAAACCCAGTACTTACATTTAAAGTGTCTCCTCAGCCGCCGTTCGTGACACAATCGGCCTTCAAATGCAGCCTCTGAAGGACGCAGCCCCTGAATTGGGACAAAGCTGTAGAGTCGCTGCTGCATCACTCGTGTCACGCAGAGGCAGTCAGTGTGGAATAAAGGCTCGCGGGATGGAGCAACACTGGGGCAATTTCAGACCGAGAGAGAACACTGACACTCCGACTTTCTGAAAAGCTGCTCCGAGCAAAATTATGTCGCTCTGCTCACACAAGACACCACTCACATGCTCTAAAACAGGCGTGTCAAACTGGGGACCTTCGGGGCCAAAGTGCTGCGGAGATCAGCGTTTACCCTCATCTAACGCTCTACATTCCATTCATGAAGGACTTCCTAATTAGCTAAAGGGCTGAATCGGGGTGTTTAGACAGTCAAGTCAAGTCAAAGTTTATTTATGTAACGCTTTTTACAGCAGGTGTTGTCACGAAGCAGCTTTACAGAAAAATACGGCTCTGAGCCCCCATGAGCGTCGCCAATGGCAACAGTGGCAAGAAAAACTCCCTAAGAGCAAGAGGAAGAAACACTGAGAGGAACCAAGACTCAAAAGGGGAACCCATCCTCCTCTGGTCGACACCGGATAGCAAACAATAACACAAGAGCAATTTGAACAGAGAATAAGGTTTGACCATAAGTATAAGATACGGAAAAGGCAGTGAGCTGAAGTCTGCGGAGTTTTTGCCCGAAGGGACTGCAGCCTGACGCATGTGCTCTAGTCTGTCTCACGAAGCAGGGTTTACCACTTAGCCAGCTAACTTTAAACCTTGAGCCTCCTTTAAACTTTAAACCTCCGCCTGTCGTCTGAGAGTCTGGTGGGTTTCGTTGCTCGACGTGAACCTTGAGAGGAGGTGGGTTTGACTGGCATGCAAACTAACCAATTACAGAACAAAAACAAAAACAAAGTGGAAACAGAGCGGATAGCCAATCAGATTACACGTGACAAAATTCCAGTATGCCAGTTCAGTAAATCATAAGCCTGTCACAATTATTACATAATACATAATCACAGTAATATTATGCTGCAACAAACACAATGTGAATTGTTTGAGTTGGGTTGAGGCAAATAAATGCAAATAAGGCCCGGTCCCATTTCTTATTTTTACCCCTACCCCTTGTTTTCAAGTGTCACATTGCCCCTTGGAACTGAGTGAAATCTTCCCTCTGAAATGGGACCCTCAAATAAAAAGAGCATCACTTCATTAACAACTACCAGCGCTGCTCTGTAGGCGACCCTGCCAGTCTGCAGTGACAGCAGGGACGGTAAAGTTCAGCTCCTCACTGCTGGGCTTTGGTTTATTTATTATCACCCACCCCTAATTCTTCAGAGATGTGAAGCTGAAGTCAGATATTCACCAACTTCTTGTTTTAATTTTTCCGTTCCACCTTAAATGGTGCAGTGGTTATGATGCCTGAGGCGCCAGACTGTAACTGCTGAACCATTTAAGGTAGAACAAAAAATTTAGCTAGCTACCAAGACATCAGTACAACTAGCAATTTTTTATGCCTGTTAATGACCATAATACACTGAAACAACATTAAACTAAGACAATACAGTGGTTAGCGTAATTTTTAACTGAGAAGATTCTCACATTTGTGGGTTTCTTTGGTATCTTGTTCAGCCATCTTGCTGGTTTTCCTGTTTTTCTCATATCACTCTGTTTGGAGTCTCTGAAAAACATCCGTTTGGAGGGTCATGTAGCCCTAACACTTCGCCCTACCCCTCTATCTCAACAAAGATCGGGACACCCTACCCCTAGACAAGAACACGCAGTATGGAGGGATAGGGCTAAGTGGTAGGGGCGAGGGGTGAAATGGGATTGGGAGTAAATGCGTTCACTGAAATTGATCACAGGACTAATATAAGTTCTAATTTCTAATTTGGTGCCACAGCATTTAGAGGGCAGCACTGAGTAGCTATATAGCTATGTAGCTAAAAGTATGTAGCTTTGCTTGACTCTACACTTGAGTGAGTGTGTGTAACTTTAAACATGTGTGTGTGTGTGTGTGTGTGTGTGTGTGTGTGTGTGTTTGTGCAGTACTGATTCGACAGTACAACCAGTGATAGCTGCTAAGTGAGCATAGCTAGTATAAGGTGGCTAATCAGCCAGTTTGGCCCCTTTACCCATATGGAAGAAAAATATATGGACATGCATTTTTATATGTTTGAAATACATTTCAAACACATTGCAGTCGATGCTGAAATACATTCCAAACACTAAAATGCATTCCAGAATATTTTGCCATATTAACCAAATATATTTTAAAATGCATTTATTTTAAAATGTATGGGGAAATATTACACATAGAAATATACCGAACAAAAATAAACGTATGTAAATGTGTTTATCAAATACTTTTGAAAATGTATGAAAACAGCCAAAATCCTGTCTGATGCTCTTCACTGTCTGATACCCTTAGAAATGAATTTGTGTTTCATCTTCATTTTAAATCTGAGTGTTGTAGGTATTGATACTCTGTGAAAATGCAGTTATGATCTGATATCTTGTTTGTGTGTGAGAGTCTCACTGCAGACGTACCTGGTTAATGTAAGGTACAGTGCGGATCACAGACGTCAGTTCCGTTCATTCAGCTCATGTATATTTAAGCTTTGTTAAAACTACATACAACTAAAAAATATAATAATAAATGTAAATAAGGGCATTTAACAAAAACATTTTTGGCCATTTTCATACACCGCAAAAATATATTTGATAAACACATTTGAAATGTATTTTTTATTTTAAGCAATTGACAAAAAAAGACAAATCAGTAAATGTCAGTTATTGATATGCCAGTTATACATCAGCTAAAATGTCATGATCGTGACAGGCCTGTTTAATAGTCAGCTTTGTGGGCGGAGCTTCTCTGACTACGTTTGATCTAATATTTCTGTCTCGTTACACTGGGTCACTTTTTACCGAGCTACATCGCCATGGCAACTCTTACCCCGCGCCTGCTCTGGAGTGGCTTAAATTCAAAATTACAGATCACGAATGGGTTTTGGACCAATCAGGGCCGAGTTTCTGGCTGGGGCGGAGGCTCTGATCCTTTTCAGCTCACATTTTTAGCTGCAAATCAGCTACTAATGTTTTTAGTGCAATGAAATCAAGACACTAAAAGAAGAGCAGCACAGCGACCGCTCAGCTCCTCCTTTGTGGCGTTTGCAGCTGATCTTTTTGCTGTTTGTGATTGTTTTACCCTTTACATACTTATATAACAGTATTTTATTATAATTGTTCAATGTTAATAAGTTTTTAACCACCAATGAGTCAGCAGCAGTTTGAGTTTGTCAGGTTTTCTGAACCTGAAACTTTGCAGAGAACCCTGACTTGAATGTACTTCATGTGACAGATCCCTGATTTAGAGTTATTATTATTATTATTATTATTATTATTATTATTATTTACCTGTGGCTTTACACTGGAAATGCTGGGTGTTGTAGCAGCTGAAGGAGCTGAATGAATCTCAGCATTAAAGCTGACACTCCTATGTATTTATGTTTTGCTGAAAAAGCACAAATCGTGTTTATGAAGGTGAATCAGGTTCTTTTTCCAAGGTTACGTCAGAAACATCCTGGTCGCACTTGAAGACTGGAGATAAGAAATACTTACAGCGAACCATCTATAACCATGACTCGATGACTTTCTGTTTGTTTAAAGTGTGTTTAATATATACATTAAATTAAATGAGCACTTTCAAATGTGGAAACTGATATGGAAAAAAACATTTTAGGAGTTCATCCAGCCACGAAGAGCCTCCTAACCCTAATCCCCCTAATCCTGTTAAACTGATTTATTTTTTTTTTTGTTTTTTTTTTAGTGATTGTGATTCTAAAAATGTGAAACTCTGAATCTAATAAATATTTTTATTGGATAAATCATTGCACTGTCTCTAAATCTGTGAATCTCTTCATGGTGTGATTTAATGGTCAGTCTGTTGGGCACTTTTGTTGTAATGAAATTAGATCAATACATAAATCTGGGCACATATATGGATATACATATACATGCAGAGCGGCAGTATGTGTAAGTAAAAGTATGACAGCTGAATCAAAATGAAGGATTTTGAAAGCAAAAAAAAAGATAAAAAAACACAAATTGGTGAAGAGAAAAACAATGAAATGATGAGTTTAATAAGTAATGGACTGAATTTATACAGGAAAAAACTGGTTTGAAATTAAAATACTATAAGTAAGTACAGTATAATGCATATATTATAAATATATGTTAATATCAGTTATAATACATTTTTTTTTATTATTTTGCAAAAAACTTTTATCACAAAAATGTATTTGGTGAATCTCGTGCTAGTTAGACGGTCAAGGGACATCTGGGGTCAAGAGTTTGTTTATTTTTTTACACAAATAAAACACACTCAGGCTCCAACATTAGACACTGGACCCTCTCTGTAGTCCAGTTTAAACCCGCTGGGCCAGTTTGCGCTTTTTGATCCTGAAAAATAAGCGCAGCGAAGGACTTTGATTATGGAGGTGATGTCGTCCGTTCTGGTGTGGATGTTTCCGGCTCCCCCGCTGGCCCGCAGAGCGCTGCTGACTGATTAGTTCTTCACAGAAAAACAGAGAATTTAGAGTAAAAACGGCGTTTTCGTCCTGTTCGGACTGAGCGGTTCATTGATCGACCCGTCTGGAGTGAAGGCGGCTCTGCTCAGGTCAGTGTCACAGAGCGCGTTTCCAGCGTTTTGTGGAGAATCCTCTCCTGTAGCGGCGAGCTAACGCGTTAGCCACAGTGGGCTAAGAGTTCTTCTTATTCCAGTTTTCCGTTCCGCCTTAAATGATGCAGCATTCCGGCTCCTGCACGGATAAAGCGGGGTTTATCAGTTTACCTAGATCATTTAAAGAACCCACGTTCTTTATATTTCTGTGTATGTCTTATATTTTCCGCTTAAAACGCGAGTTTGTGGGGTTTTTATGTTAAAAAACAATCATAATTCATTTAAATGATTGTTTACCAGCCTCTCTTTATCCTTTACAGTCAAACGGGCTGCCTTTAAAGGGGAATTCCACCAATTTTTCAAAATCAAGGACTCAGAATGTCCTTGAGTCGTTAAGTAAGTCGGTTCAGAGTGGTTTGGTGTGAATGGCTCAGATGTCTTTACAGTGGTGGTGATAGGAACCAGGTGGTGAGTGACTACAACACAAATATAGACGTTTTATTTACTGTCCAGAACCACCAGAGAACCTAAACATGTCTTCTGGGCTTTTATATGGAATAATGATGGTAAAATATTGATAAATCTAAAAAAAAAACAAAAGGTTTCTTTTGGGGACTATTTTGCCTCACAACACTTTGCATATATCCCTCCAAAATAAAAGGATTTTAGGTCAAAATCTCACAACTATCATAAAGCGGTGAATTCATAATCATTTCATGTAGTAACTTTCTGTGAGGGAGCTTTTAGAGGTGGATGTCTGGTTCCTATCACCACCACTGTGAACAGTTCTGACTCGGTAAGTTTCTCTAGAACAGAGCGTTTCACACCAAACCACTGTGAACGACTCTGTTTACATCTTAACTATTTAATTGTGTGGAATTGTTTGTAGGTTAGATGTTTTATAAGATAAGTCTTTAAAATATATTTTGTATTTGAGCTGAATCAAACTGTCTGTATCTGAACCTGAAAATATGTGTATTGTTAGCTGGGCAGGTGGTTAAAATATTACAGAGTGATCTGGTGTGTTCGCGCAAATCCCACCTATAATAGCTAACATGGCCTCTTTTACAGCCGTCATAAACATGTCCGTTTTAATCTCATCCCGTTCTCGTGTTTCAGACTTGCTGCCAAACCTGCGGCGCCTTCAAAACACTGCTCTTAGCATTCTGCGCGTTTGTTCCTACACAGCTGTGCGTGAGTGAGCACTGGCCAAGAAAATAATGTCCTGTGGTTGAAGATGGGCGGCAGCGGCTCCAAAGTTAAAGGTTATTGGCCCTTTTCTGGCTCAGGCGGCGGAGATGAACCTACCAAAGAGGGCAAAGAGCAGACCCTGGCCAGGGTCCGGAGCTTCCGAAACGGGACGCCCTTCGTGTTTACCAGGAGGAGGTAGGATTAAATATAGCTCCGTCAACACAGACGTGTCTGCTGATGGGGGAGGATTGGATGTCAGTCTGATTAAGCAAGACTTTCATAGAGGCTTTAGGGAACAGCAAGTAAACAAAATTCAGTTACACTTTAGTGTTGCAGTACATCTCTCTGTGTGAAGTTTTTAAGGGCTTTTTCCTTCCATATATTCCTTCCATGTAGAAGCATAAACCCATCATATGTTCTCCAAACTTGTCTGTCTTCAAATTGATAAAAATGTTTTAAATTAAAGTGAGTATCACACAGATTTTATAAGAAAGCACTGGAAAGTCCAAATTTGCTTGTGAATAATAGCATGAAAAGTCAGGTTCATTTCTACAGCACATTTAAAAACAGCTGAAGCTGCTCCCGAGTTCCCCGATTCACAGATACTGTGTCTGCGTGACGTGAGCGACTCGAAAAGTCTTGCTTTTCATTTCGACGCCCATGTTAGCTAGTCAGCACTTTCACACAGGCTGCGCGTCCCAGACGCCGCACTGAAGCTCGCGTCATGCAGCAGAATACACTAAAATAAGCCATGAAAATAAATGAAAATTAAACTGAAAACCATAGACAAACTTAAAAATAAATTATTTTTTTTTAATTTGATTTAGTTCATGACAAAATACTAGTTAAATATTCTGTGCTTCTACTAAGCTTGAAACTTTTGCCTAATCACAAGTCAGAATGCTGTTGAGGATAAACAAACATACTGTGCAGTTTCATAAATTATATTTTTATTGAGCAGAGAGGCTGAAGTGACCGTTTATCCGTTTGGAAAAATTAATGTCTGTATAACTTTCTTGCTGCTCCGCTCCACAGCACAAACACTGTGTGTATGAAAGGCTAACGTGTTTGAGCTGTAGCGCTCGCACCGCTGCGTCACTCACACCATGCAGAGGTAGGATGTGTGAATGAGGCCTAAGCGTTGGCTCTGTCATCAGGAGATCATGAGTTCGATCCCTGGTGATGCTACAGCCGTCCGTGGTCGGGAGTCCAAGAGAGCACAATTGTCCTTGCTCTTTCTCTGGGAGGGCAGGATGCCCCCCCCCCATCACTCCGCGCAGTGCTAGCTAGCACAGGTGTCTGTTAGCTGATGTAACAGAGCTGGCGGTTAGTGTTCTCCTCCGAACGCTCAGCTGTCCGGTGACGTTGCGTTAGCGGCAGTTTGAAAAGATGCGGTGGAGCTTCACAGGACTCGGAGGAAGCCTGTGCCAGCTTTCGCCCTCCTTGCGCTGGTGGTATCGTGTGATTGGGGGAGACCTAACTAGTGGGTGGAATTGGATACGACCAAACTGGGGGGAAAAACAGCCAAAGCTGACCAAAGTGCTGTACAGCTAATAAAAGTAAAAATAAAAACACTTATTAACAAAACAGAAACAAAAATTGAAAAATGAAAATGACATTTATGAATGAAGTTGACATTTAATCAAAAAAACTCATAGTATGGTTAGATCTTTAACCAAGAAGAGCACTTTAGACCAGTCAGAACAAGTTCTGTTGCATATTCCTCATCATACACAGTTCACCTTTGGGGCATGAGTGAGTTAATGGTTGATTTAAGATGATTCCTGTGTAGAACATCTAGATCAGGAGTGCCCAGTCCTGATCTTGGAGAGTTACCGTCCTGGAGAGTTCAGATCTAGCATACTTGGCTGTATATAGAGGTCCCTGAAGGCCTTAACTACCCGGATGGGGTGTGTTAGATCATTGGTTCCCAACCCTGGTCTTAGAAGCTCCGGAAAAGCTCCATGGTGGTCAGAACGGTCCAGAAGGCTGGCAACATGGAAAGACCATGTTGTGATTATGTTGCTGCACATTCTGATTGTGATATTCCTTCACATCGGTGCTTCTGTGTGTCTGTGCACGATTAGCTCCATGTACTTCGATGAAGATGGCGACCTGGCTCACGAGTTCTACGAGGAGACGGTGGTGACGAAGAACGGCCGGAAGAAAGCGAAGTTGAAAAGGATCCAGAAGAACCTCATACCTCAGGTGTGTCTCTCTCCCGCCATACGTTTCCTTCACTCATCATATATAAACCCTTATCTCTTAGCAGTGGTTCATAAACCGTTGGTAACAGATGAAACTCAACTTTCTCTAATCAGTCTATTCACGATTATCTGATTAATTCGTTTAACTTGTTGAACTAATTTGTCCACATGGATCGAATGTCCTATATGGAGCCTCGTTCAAAAAGCAGTCTTGACTAAAAACACTCCTTATAACTTCAGTGTGAGTGGGCGGGGCTGAACTACTGTAGGCTAAATAGATAGATATATATAAAATTTTTTATTTATTATTATTTAATTTTTTTACATGTTTATTTGAATAATGCAAGAAAATTATTCTTTTCTCATGATATAGGCCCTTTAATTAAAATGTTCATTAACACTGTGTTCTCTCTCTCTCTCTCTCTCTCTCTCTCTCTCTCTCTCTCTGTAGGGAATCATAAAGCTGGATCACCCCTGCCTCCATGTAGATTTCCCGGTTATCATATGCGAGGTTTGATGAAGGAGAACAGTCCCAGATCGTGCGCACACTGTGACGACTCCGTCCCCCCCTCCTCCTCCTCCTGTGTGCCAGATCCTGGATTTTCTCTCTGTGTAGCGCCCCCAAGAGGCCGCTCTGTCTCACTGCATGCTTGTGGACTCGCAGCGGGCAGGCTGGGGAGACAGTGACCGCGTGTGATTTGGGAAAGACGATGATCTTACTCTGATCTATCTCCAGAACCGATCTGTGAGTGAGAGTATTCGGACTGTGCTCTAGAGCCTGTGTGGGTGTTCATTGATCACCGATGTGGGGCGACGCTTTAGTACCTCGTCCTCTGTGTTCTGTCACAATGTTATAGCTGTAGATCGTTTAGATGCAGAATGTGTGAATGGACTGTTCTTTTCTTTTGAGCCTCGCTGTTCTAGAGCTGATTTACATCATCACGCCATTCTAGATCAGTTTGACAGTTCCAGAATGCCACAAAATGGTTTTTTATTGCTTCTAGAAGTCCTTAAAATGTGTTCTACACTCTTAAAAAGTAAAGGTTCCTACTTTGATGTATGCTTCTAGAACCTAAGCTTTTAAAAAGGTTCTTCACACTTGAACATCTCACCAAAATTATTCTTAAAAAGGTTCTTCAGGGTACCGAAAGTGGCTCTTTGATTGCACAGCTCCATGACACCTTTATTTTTAGGAGTGTAGAACCGTTCTAGAACACTATAGTTGATGTAGCAAGAACCCAAAGCTTCACAGCACAGATTATAAGCCCTGGCTGTAGAAAACTTGGACATATTTATAAAATAAAAGACAGTAACTGATGGATTGTCCTCGTTTCCGCATGTTCTTGTAATTCTTTTTTTTTTTTTTTAAATAACCAGCCTGAAGGAGACGGTGGCTGTGTACTATGCTGTGATTGGATATCTTCTGTATTATGTTAATCCAACTGATGCTCTTTGATTGGTTAGCAGTGTAGAGCATCGCTCACTGTGACCCGCCCTGCGTCCACTGCTGAGGCGAGTTTAATTTCACTGTTAATTTGTTACACATTGGTACAGTTGGGTTGCTTTTGTTTGTTTTTTTTTGTTTGTTTTTTTAAATAACACATTCAAATGCATATAATTGTGTTTGCTCGTTTGTTTGTTGCCAGAAATGCTTTGAAAGACCAGTCAATCTTGTCCAGTGTGAGGCGGCAATGAGTGAGTTTACATGCATGTAATAATCCGATAACTGCAGAAAATCTGATTTTGTCAGTAATCTGTTCAACGTCTTTACATGCACTTAATGGTAATCAGATAATGGGGAAACTCCAGGTCTACATGAGTCAGACAGTAATCAGATTTCTGCTTTACAACCAGCCAATAAACTCACAGAAGAAGACGTGATGTAAACGTAACGTAAAACTCAAACTTCATGACGCGGCTTTTTTTAAACATCACCCCACTTTACCTGAAAATATGAACAAACATCATCTAGAAGATGAAGAATATTTAAATCCTTTATTTCGTGTTTGTTTTCAGTTCGTCGCTCCAACAGTGCTTTGCTGCGTCTCGCGGCGACACTGCTCACTTATTTCCGGTACCGCCGCCTGTTCTGCACATGCTCAGACTGAGAAATCCGAAAGAAATCAGAGTAAGAGTTTACAGCACTGAGAAATCTGATTACTGAGCTAAAATCCGGCCTCTTTACCAGATTCCTTAATCGGATTTCTAGATCGGAGTATGGTGTTTACATGACCATTGGAATAATCGGATAACTGCAGAAATCCGATTATGATCAGATTATTGGGTGCATGTAAATGCACTCATTGATACTGGATCAAAGTTTAGATAAAGATCTCCATCTACTTCAAAATGCCCCACTGAAAACTCTCAATCTCCCAACTGATAGCACTGAAATGACGTCACAGTCGCGCTGCCACCATTTTGGTAGCGACATCAGGTTCATTCAGCGGTGCTGTTTGTAATGAGATCAAGCCGTAACTGATCCAGCAAAGGCAGTAAAACAGAGTTTTTTAACACTTTCTGAATCTCATTTTAAATCACATTAACTGATATATTTGAGTGTTTTGCCCTGATTTCATTTGATTTGCTGCTGTAGTGATAATGCTGAGGCTGAGATTTGCCCACGTTATTATTTCCCCATCCCAAACTGCGTACTAGCTCACTAAATAGTGTGTAAACAAAACAGCGCATATATCATTAGAAGTGCACTCATTAGTGTAGTAGGTGAAGTACAGAAGTGTGTGGTTTGGGACGCGGCGTTAGATCAGCCAGTGAGACGCGTTCAACAGCTGCTCTGCTGTGCTGCTCGTTAGCTGCTCTTTAAACACCTTGAGGTAAATTAACGCATTTATTGAGGTAAACTGATGCATTTATGGAGGTAAATTAACGTATTTATTGAGGTAAACATCCATTTAGTGAGGTAAATTGATGCATTTAGTGAGGTAAATTGATGCGTTGTTTGAGGTAAACTGTTGTCGGCTTCGTATTCGCCAACTTCCGAAATTCTTTCCATGTTTAAGGCGCCTCTGTGAAACTGCAGCACCATTTAAGGTGGAATGGAAAATTCAAATGGGAAGCTGGTGAAGAAGAAGCTGACTTGAGCTTGATATTAATGTATGAGTTTATTATTTAAGCCACTTTTATTATTTTTTGTAAAATCTGTACGATTTGGAATGTTCTGAACTCTGGAGAAATGCAGGCTGTACTGATCCCGTCCACCAATTTAGCTAATCTCCTCGTAGTGTTTCTGGAGACACATCTAAAGCGTCTTCATATCTTTTCATCTTCTTCGTGGTCATTCTGGTCTGTTTTGTTGGTCTTTATCCGCTTGCAGGTCAGTATCTGCAGTAACAGTGATGAGACGAGCTCCATCAGAGCTCACCTACATGGAGATGCGCTCTTCTTAAAGACATAAAGTACTACGAATTCACCACTAGAGGGAGACACACTACTCAATTTTCCTTGGCCGTTTCCACAATTATTAACTTCTAAAATGAGGACACTGAGACTCTCAGTCTCTCTGAGTCTCAGCTTTGGGCATCTTTCTGTCTGCTGTTCATTCTTATTTGAAGATTTGGTCTGCAAAGCATGAAATACAGCACACAAAACTACCTCTAAACTACACCTACTCCAAATCTTAGCCTCAGACAGCGTCAGGCAGTCTCTAATAAATCTGATGATGAGGTTTCTAAGACTATATGACACTGTTATCTGTAAACATGGACTAACGTACGTAAACATCGCTGAAAAACAGTTTTGAAGCCTTTGTATTTTGTCAGTTTGTCTAGATAACAATCCTACAGTCTTAAGTGGTCTTATGACAGTAAGGGGGGTTTATGTACCATTTTAGCCTTGTAGCGTCAGTATAAAACTAAAGAAGCACTTCAGACACCAAACAAATGTATCAATCGATGTGTGAAATGTACAGGGTCCTGGGGGTCCAGGACCCCCCTGATTAATCTCTGGGACCCCCTGAATGTCTCAGTCAAAAGTCTGGGGGGTCCCTGAATTATGACATTATGATAATTATGACGTTATGCTGTCCTTTGTACAGAGCGCTGCTGGTGACGTGCCATATAAATAAAAATAATGCATGGAAACGCCTTATTAACATGTGGGAATGAGATAATTAAGTCGTGGGAACAAGATCATGCCTTACTAAGATGCAGCCACACATTAGTATTTTGTTCCCACACCTGCGGCCATGCCTTATTAACGCATGGGAATGAGATCCTAATGTGTGGCCACGACTTAGTAAGGCATGGGAATGAGATAATGAAGTCTAAGTCGTGGCCATGCATTAGGATCTTGTTCCCATGCCTTACTAAGTCATGGCCATGACTTAAATATCTTGTTCCCATGCCTTACTAAGTCATGGCCACATGTTAGGATCTCGTTCCCATGCCTTACTAAGTCGTGGCCATGCATTAGGATCTTGTTCCCACAGCTTACTAAGTCGTGGCCACGACTTGATTATCTTGTTCCCATGCCTTACTAAGTCATGGCCACACGTTATTTTTATTTACCAGCAGGGCTTCATACCTTTAGGAAAAAATGGACACTCAAACACAGATTCAGTGAAGCTCATTGTTTATCTGCTTCCCCCACAATCAGCTTCTGTCTCTGGTGTTCTTCACTAACTAGAGCTGCAGCACTGCCCTGCCTCAGGGTGGCGCTGTAGCAGACTGGCTCACCCAGTTGGTTCTAGCCTAGAAACTGTAACTCTGCCCGGATTCCTCTGAAAAGCTTTACAATGAGCTGCAGCAGATCTGTAAATCTGAAAACTCGCCCAGTTTCCCAAGAGTTTGGAGTGAAGAGTGACTGTTCCTCATTTCTCACACTGAAGACAGAAGAGGAGACGAGGAAGATCTCAGTTACTGTGAGGAAGAGCGCAGAACCGCACTAGAACAGAGACTCTACAGAAGAGGAGACGAGGAAGATCTCAGTTAGTGTGAGGAAGAGCGCAGAACCGCACTAGAACAGAGACTCTACAGAAGAGGAGACGAGGAAGATCTCAGTTACTGTGAGGAAGAGCGCAGAACCGCACTAGAACAGAGACTTTACAGAAGAACAACTGATAAAACAAACATTTACTGACACTGAAGCTTCAGCGCCGCTATGGTGAGTGGGTTAGCAGCCAGACAACATGAGACCCCCGAATACCAGGGGGGATTTCACACACTGACATCAACTATATTTGGGGTAAGAGGGATATTGTGTAATTTAGATTTTTGAGTGTCTAAACTATCACTGGGGCGGCAAGAATGGCCTGGGTTCGATTCCCGGCCGGGTGACCAGGGTCATTTCTGTGTGGAGTTTGCCTGTTCTCCCCGTGTCTTCGTGGGTTTCCTCCGGGTACTCCGGTTTCCTCCCACAGTCCAAAGACATGCGGTCAGGCCGATTGGACATGCTGAATTGCCCCTAGGTGTGAGTGAGTGTGTGTGAATGTGTATGTCTGTCTGTCTGCCCTGCGATGGACTGGCGACCTGTCCAGGGTGTGTCCTGCCTTCCGCCCAGTGACAGCTATGATAGGCTCCAGCACCCCACCGCGACCCAGAAGGATAAGCGGTTTAGATGATGTATGTATGTATCTAAACTATCACTTTAACCTCCCTACACATCCTCCAAAACCAGCACCTCTACCTCAGTCGCCTTTTTCCCCACAGACGAGTTTTTATCAGTTGTAAGGCCTCAGCTGGTCTCCGAGGGGTGGGCCGTTCTCACGCGTTCCTGAGGGGACGAATGTGATTTTGAAGCCTCGGCTCAGACGTGTTGATGAACTCGTTTATCTCAACCACAGACATTACAGTAATGACCCATGGTAAGTATTTGAAAGCGGTCAGGGTTGTGAGTGTGCGTCACTCATAGCTGCACGCAGTGTGAGAGTTTCTGATGGTTTTCTCTTCTGTCCCAGGTTGGGGGATCATATAGAACGCGTGTGGATCTGTTGGGAATCTTTTCACTGGTACTCAACTGGGAGAACATTTGAATACACACATTCCAGCTTTTCACTTCCCTGCTGGAAAAAACATAGAAACTCTTAAGTGTTTCTGTCGGTTTCTGATAGTTTTGTCGTGTGTTTTGGCTTTTTTGATGGGTTGATATCATAATGTAAAGGATCCTAAGGGCTTAACAGGCGACCGGTGGCTGATTCTAATGGGTTCCTCCCTGATAGCAATCTTTATACTGGGCCACTGTCGGCCCGCTGATGGCGAAGCTGGTGGCCCACTGGTGTTTTGCTCAGTGTTTTCTGGACAGCCCACCAGTGTTTAAACAGAGTATTAGACAAAATCCCACTAATCGTCACTCGTTGTCCACTCACAGTCCAGTTTACTGATTTTTCCTCCTTCCTTTCTTTAGTTACACTGTAAATCAGTTTAGTAAATCGTTTTAATCCAGCTCAGCGTCAGAAACACTTTCTATAAAATCATTTTAGATCAGGACTAGTCATTATTTTTTCTCTCATTTGTTTGTAATATTTGTCTTAGTTTATTTTCTAAAATAAAAGTCTCTGCGCATGTAAAATCTGTCTAAGGAGACTAAAAATGATAAAACCATAAAACCCAAAAAGCTGAAAATATAAAGGTGCTTCCATCCTCTGTGCAGTGAAGCA